CCGCCCACTGCTCATGTAGCTCCACCCACTACTCATGTAGCTCCTCCCACTACTCATGTAGCTCCTCCCACTACTCATGTAGCTCCTCTCACTACTCATGTAGCTCCGCCCACTACTCATGTAGCTCCTCCCACTACTCATGTAGCTCCTCCCACTACTCATGTAGCTCCTCCCACTACTCATGTAGCTCCATCCACTACTCATGTAGCTCCACCCACTACTCATGTAGCTCCTCCAACTGCTCATGTAGCTCCTCCCACTGTTCATGTAGCTCCTCCCACTACTCATGTAGCTCCGCCCACTACTCATGTAGCTCCTCCCACTACTCATGTAGCTCCACACACTGCTCATGTAGCTCCTCCCACTGTTCATGTAGCTCCTCCCACTGCTCATGTAGCTCCTCCCACTACTCATGTAGCTCCACCCACTACTCATGTAGCTCCTCCCACTACTCATGTAGCTCCTCCCACTGCTCATGTAGCTCCTCCCACTACTCATGTAGCTCCACCCACTGCTCATGTAGCTCCTCCCACTACTCATGTAGCTCCACCCACTGCTCATGTAGCTCCGCCCACTGCTCATGTAGCTCCACCCACTACTCATGTAGCTCCTCCCACTACTCATGTAGCTCCACCCACTACTCATGTAGCTCCTCCCACTACTCATGTAGCTCCACCCACTACTCATGTAGCTCCACCCACTGCTCATGTAGCTCCACCCACTACTCATGTAGCTCCTCCCACTGCTCATGTAGCTCCACCCACTACTCATGTAGCTCCACCCACTACTCATGTAGCTCCTCCCACTACTCATGTAGCTCCACCCACTGCTCATGTAGCTCCTCCCACTACTCATGTAGCTCCACCCACTACTCATGTAGCTCCACCCACTGCTCATGTAGCTCCACCCACTGCTCATGTAGCTCCTCCCACTACTCATGTAGCTCCACCCACTACTCATGTAGCTCCACCCACTGCTCATGTAGCTCCACCCACTGCTCATGTAGCTCCTCCCACTACTCATGTAGCTCCACCCACTACTCATGTAGCTCCACCCACTGCTCATGTAGCTCCACCCACTGCTCATGTAGCTCCACCCACTACTCAGGTAGCTCCACCCACTACTCATGTAGCTCCTCCCACTGCTCATGTAGCTCCACCCACTACTCATGTAGCTCCACCCACTACTCAGGTAGCTCCACCCACTACTCATGTAGCCCCACCCACTACTCATGTAGCTCCACCCACTACTCAAGTAGCTCCACCCACTACTCATGTAGCTCCTCCCACTACTCATGTAGCTCCACCCACTACTCATGTAGCTCCACCCACTACTCAGGTAGCTCCACCCACTACTCATGTAGCTCCTCCCACTGCTCATGTAGCTCCACCCACTACTCATGTAGCTCCTCCCACTGCTCATGTAGCTCCTCCCACTGCTCATGTAGCTCCTCCCACTACTCATGTAGCTCCGCCCACTGCTCATGTAGCTCCACCCACTACTCATGTAGCTCCTCCCACTGCTCATGTAGCTCCACCCACTACTCATGTAGCTCCTCCCACTACTCATGTAGCTCCTCCCACTACTCATGTAGCTCCGCCCACTGCTCATGTAGCTCCACCCACTGCTCATGTAGCTCCTCCCACTACTCATGTAGCTCCACCCACTACTCATTTAGCTCCACCCACTGCTCATGTAGCTCCACCCACTGCTCATGTAGCTTCACCCACTACTCATGTAGCTCCACCCACTACTCATGTAGCTCCACCCACTACTCATGTAGCTCCTCCCACTGCTCATGTAGCTCCACCCACTACTCATGTAGCTCCACCCACTGCTCATGTAGCTCCACCCACTGCTCATGTAGCTCCTCCCACTACTCATGTAGCTCCACCCACTGCTCATGTAGCTCCTCCCACTACTCATGTAGCTCCATCCACTAGTCATGTAGCTCCACCCACTACTCATGTAGCTCCTCCAACTGCTCATGTAGCTCCTCCCACTGTTCATGTAGCTCCTCCCACTACTCATGTAGCTCCGCCCACTACTCATGTAGCTCCTCCCACTACTCATGTAGCTCCACCCACTGCTCATGTAGCTCCTCCCACTGTTCATGTAGCTCCTCCCACTGCTCATGTAGCTCCTCCCACTACTCATGTAGCTCTACCCACTACTCATGTAGCTCCTCCCACTACTCATGTAGCTCCTCCCACTGCTCATGTAGCTCCTCCCACTACTCATGTAGCTCCACCCACTGCTCATGTAGCTCCTCCCACTACTCATGTAGCTCCACCCACTGCTCATGTAGCTCCGCCCACTGCTCATGTAGCTCCACCCACTACTCATGTAGCTCCTCCCACTACTCATGTAGCTCCACCCACTACTCATGTAGCTCCTCCCACTACTCATGTAGCTCCACCCACTACTCATGTAGCTCCACCCACTGCTCATGTAGCTCCACCCACTACTCATGTAGCTCCTCCCACTGCTCATGTAGCTCCACCCACTACTCATGTAGCTCCACCCACTACTCATGTAGCTCCTCCCACTACTCATGTAGCTCCACCCACTGCTCATGTAGCTCCTCCCACTACTCATGTAGCTCCACCCACTACTCATGTAGCTCCACCCACTGCTCATGTAGCTCCACCCACTGCTCATGTAGCTCCTCCCACTACTCATGTAGCTCCACCCACTACTCATGTAGCTCCACCCACTGCTCATGTAGCTCCACCCACTGCTCATGTAGCTCCTCCCACTACTCATGTAGCTCCACCCACTACTCATGTAGCTCCACCCACTACTCAGGTAGCCCCACCCACTACTCATGTAGCTCCACCCACTACTCAAGTAGCTCCACCCACTACTCATGTAGCTCCTCCCACTACTCATGTAGCTCCACCCACTACTCATGTAGCTCCACCCACTACTCAGGTAGCTCCACCCACTACTCATGTAGCTCCTCCCACTGCTCATGTAGCTCCACCCACTACTCATGTAGCTCCTCCCACTGCTCATGTAGCTCCTCCCACTGCTCATGTAGCTCCTCCCACTACTCATGTAGCTCCGCCCACTGCTCATGTAGCTCCACCCAGTACTCATGTAGCTCCTCCCACTGCTCATGTAGCTCCACCCACTACTCATGTAGCTCCTCCCACTGCTCATGTAGCTCCTCCCACTACTCATGTAGCTCCTCCCACTACTCATGTAGCTCCGCCCACTGCTCATGTAGCTCCACCCACTGCTCATGTAGCTCCTCCCACTACTCATGTAGCTCCACCCACTACTCATGTAGCTCCACCCACTGCTCATGTAGCTCCACCCACTGCTCATGTAGCTTCACCCACTACTCATGTAGCTCCACCCACTGCTCATGTAGCTCCTCCCACTACTCATGTAGCTCCACCCACTACTCATGTAGCTCCACCCACTACTCATGTAGCTCCACCCACTGCTCATGTAGCTCCTCCCACTACTCATGTAGCTCCACCCACTACTCATGTAGCTCCTCCCACTGCTCATGTAGCTCCACCCACTACTCATGTAGCTCCACCCACTACTCATGTAGCTCCACCCACTACTCATGTAGCTCCGCCCACTACTCATGTAGCTCCACCCACTACTCATGTAGCTCCACCCACTACTCATGTAGCTCCTCCCACTGCTCATGTAGCTCCACCCACTACTCATGTAGCTCCACCCACTACTCATGTAGCTCCACCCACTACTCATGTAGCTCCACCCACTACTCATGTAGCTCCTCCCACTGCTCATGTAGCTCCACCCACTACTCATGTAGCGCCACCCACTACTCATGTAGCTCCACCCACTACTCATGTAGCTCCGCCCACTACTCATGTAGCTCCACCCACTACTCATGTAGCTCCACCCACTACTCATGTAGCTCCACCCACTACTCATGTAGCTCCTCCCACTGCTCATGTAGCTCCACCCACTACTCATGTAGCTCCACCCACTACTCATGTAGCTCCACCCACTACTCATGTAGCTCCGCCCACTACTCATGTAGCTCCGCCCACTACTCATGTAGCTCCACCCACTACTCATGTAGCTCCGCCCACTACTCATGTAGCTCCGCCCACTACTCATGTAGCTCCACCCACTACTCATGTAGCTCCGCCCACTACTCATGTAGCTCCACCCACTACTCATGTAGCTCCACCCACTATTCATGTAGCTCCTCCCACTGCTCATGTAGCTCCACCCACTACTCATGTAGCTCCGCCCACTACTCATGTAGCTCCACCAACTACTCATGTAGCTCCTCCCACTGCTCATGTAGCTCCACCCACTACTCATGTAGCTCCGCCCACTACTCATGTAGCTCCACCCACTACTCATGTAGCTCCTCCCACTGCTCATGTAGCTCCACCCACTACTCATGTAGCTCCACCCACTACTCATGTAGCTCCGCCCACTACTCATGTAGCCCCGCCCACTACTCATGTAGCTCCACCCACTACTCATGTAGCTCCGCCCACTACTCATGTAGCTCCGCCCACTACTCATGTAGCTCCACCCACTACTCATGTAGCTCCGCCCACTACTCATGTAGCTCCACCCACTACTCATGTAGCTCCACCCACTATTCATGTAGCTCCTCCCACTGCTCATGTAGCTCCACCCACTACTCATGTAGCTCCGCCCACTACTCATGTAGCTCCACCAACTACTCATGTAGCTCCTCCCACTGCTCATGTAGCTCCACCCACTACTCATGTAGCTCCGCCCACTACTCATGTAGCTCCACCCACTACTCATGTAGCTCCTCCCACTACTCATGTAGCTCCACCCACTACTCATGTAGCTCCTCCCACTGCTCATGTAGCCCCACCCACTACTCATGTAGCTCCTCCCACTACTCATGTAGCTCCTCCCACTACTCATGTAGCTCCGCCCACTACTCATGTAGCTCCGCCCACTGCAGGGAACTCGCCCCAGCGCTGTCAACGGGGTGGGGGGAGCCGACGATTGGGCGCTTCCAGTTGACCCCGTACGATCCGCTTCCGGTTCACGTGCGTCATCACGTGGTGTCGCGCGGTGGATTGTGGGCGCTCTACCCACCACCACCACCCCCCATCAAGCCAAGTGGTCTCCCCTTTTGATGTAAGTCGAGCGAGTTTCTTAAAGCGACTCTCGCGACAAGAGTTTGTCGCGATGCCCTTCGAACAACCGGAAAGTCGTGCGGAAAATCGATTAACGAAATGCTCGGGGGGGTAGGGGGGGTCGTCTCGTGGGGGGGCTGATCGATGCCCGTTGGGCCCAGGCCTCTACATCGCTCGCTACGGCTCCCGTATCGCCGGTCTCCACACGCGGCACATCGTAGCGAAGTCTTCGTGGTGTCTACACGAGCGTGAGGAGACGGGAGCCGTAGTACATGTTGTTTGTGTTGTTTATGGCAGTTATTGTGAAAATTCCGTCAGTTTCTGTGATCACCGTTTCATTGCTTTCATGGCTTTATTTTGGTGATTTCGAAAAGTTTATTGGTTTAAATTTCGATTTAAAGCTTTCGTGACTGCAGGGTTTCATCTTCTTGGTTCTTTCGGTAAAGTCACGTAGAAGGGAAGTAATAAAATAATAAAAATAAAACATAATAAAATAATTCTCACGACGTTTCGGCCACTGAGTGCAAATAGAAAATCCAAGAAAAGACAGCAAAATATTGCAGAAAAAACACCGTACACCAACGCTGTGTGCAAACATCCCAATGGGATGCAAGTCAAACAACAACAACAAGACAACTTAGATTAAGGCCATCAGTCTAACTCCGTACTACAAACAAACATGGCTAAACCAATACATCTTCTTGGTTCTTTCGGTAAAGTCACGTAGAAGGGAAATAATAAAATAATAAAAATCAAACATAATAAAATAATTCTCACGACGTTTCGGCCACAACGCAAGCAGCCGTCCTCAGGTGAAGACCCCCGACAGACCTGGTCTTCACCGGAGGACGGCTGCTTGCGTTGTGGCCGAAACGTCGTGAGAATTATTATATTATGTTTGATTTTTATTATTTTATTATTTCCATTCAACGTGACTTTACCGAAAGAACCAAGAAGATGAATCCCTGCAGTCACGAAAGCTTTAAATCGAGAATTATAATTAGTGACTTTTATCGCCGTAACAGTGACGACTCCGGCCTCGCCATGAGTCTGTGGGACCACAACGACTACCTGGAGGAGCCCAGCGATGACGAGGAAAACCAGCTGAGGTAACGAGGACGTGATGGTCGTGAACGAACGATGCTGATGACTTCCTCTCATTAGTTCTGTATTACATGTGTAGTGTCCTTTATCTCGGTGCGTGTGTGTGTGCGTGCGGTGTGCGGCGCACACACTCACTCGGAGACGAGGTAGTTGCAGGAAGCTCCGTCTCTTTTTATTATCCCGTCACACCAACTCCGGCCTCCTCTCTCTCGACCACACTGCCGTACAGCCCGGCCTAGACACGACCCTGTCCGCATTGCACCGACGGCATCGACAGAGACGGCCAACTACTCTCCGGCCGCGCAATTATCGGGCGAAGACGACAGCGACGACGAGACGGGTCCACTCACAGAACCGGCAGCACATGTCACTTGAAAGAATGTCATAGGTAGCTCTGTGGTATCTGCTTCCTTGCATCACAATCTTAACATGAAGGGGGTTGCCCTGCTTTACAAGAGTCCTGAATGGATGCCAACAGCACTGTCGGCATAATATTTAGGCAAAATATAATTTAAGTGCTGGGACCAAAGCGGTACTCGGCAGGATTTAATCATCGGCATATCGACCATAATGCACAATGGGCTTGCATCGAATCAACATTGACCACAATTTGCCGTGGTATTTAAATGTAGCCATTACCCACAATTTTCCGTGCGCCCCTCCCCCACTCGCCTGCCCGCCCCCCCACCGCAGTAGCTCGGAGGACGAGGTGGACGTCCTGCTGAACGGTCCGGCCAAGCGGAAGCGCCGCCTCATTCGCGAGGTGCTCACGGGAGAGAGCGAGTCGTCCAGCGACGATGATTTCGTCAAGGAGATGGCAAAGGAGTTGGACTCGACTGTGCGCGAGATCACGGCCGTCTGGGCTCCACCACGTACGTGCTCGCACACGCCGCCGGCGGTGATGGTACGGTGATAGTTTTGCCGTATTGGTGCCATTGGTGTAAGGATTATTTATTTAAATGAGGATGCCGGTGATGGGGATTAAAGCAAAGCGGTCCGCATCGTTAAATGGACCATCCTCTGACTATTTATTGGGCGACCCTACATTGGCAGTGGTGCACAAACTCACGTGTAGAAAATAAAATTCAAGACATCAATCACACAGCCTTAAAAGAAACTAAATATCGGACATGTTTTGGACAACGGGCATTCTTCCATGCATAACTTTTCTGATGATAAATGTGGATTTATATATTGTACAAATGCAACCATTTTTGCGGTGAGCGTTTTGTCTGAGCGCGACTGCCTGTTTGAGCTCCCATTGCAGGGCATTGAACACACGCACAGAGAGATAACAATATAATAACAGTACTGCTGCATAGCTTTTCACAGTTGTGCTGTATAGTTAGTTATCTTAAGTATATTCTGGTTGTACCGCGTGGAGCGATATGTTGGGCGTCGTGCTGAACAACCCGAGGTACAACCCAAAAATAACATTGGAAAGCTGTACAATTACACTACAGTTTGGAATTCATGAACAGTTTAAACACAGCCGCGTCTCAAGGCGCTGTAGAGAAATAGTGGACGTGTCTGTTTTATAGAGAGGGGGTCATTGGCAATGGAAACAAGGAAGGTCTTCAGCTTGGACTTGAAGAAACAAAAAATAAACTGCAATGGTGATATTTTAGATTTGTTTTAGAAAAACTTTTTTTTACTTGTTTTGAAGAATAATAATAATGTTCGGTATTCAGAATGTCATGCGATGAGCACAGTGTGCGCGCCTTCAATTTGTTTACCACCCTTTGCGCCATCTCTGTATCTCGACTCACGATCCTCTCCATTTGTTTCTTACGGCGACACGCAGCGGTGCCGGCGATCGATGGAGATGGCAATCAACCGGGAGCCTCGGTGGGGACGGGCGACGCCACCAGCGCCACGGACCCCGAGTTCTACGACGACATTTACTTTGAGACGAGCTCGGAGGAAGAGGCTACCGAGGGTGAGAGGGCACGCGACCGGCGGCAGAGGTCGCAAACGGGTTTTGATTCCTTACCCGTACCCGTACCCGGCCGCACCAGGGTCGCAAATGGGTACCCGTACCCGTTCCCTACCCGTACCCTACCCGAAATGAGTGACAAACGGCTACTCACCAGTGACTCACGGACTACCCGTACCCGGCCGCCCCAGGGTCACAAACGGGTACCCGTACCCGGCCGGGTAGCCGGGTATCGGGGGTAGGGTACGGGTATCGGGTACCCGGTTGCGACCTCTGACCAGCGGTGACGGAGCAGCAGTTGCACACTCAAGCGTGCGTTTGATTCTCTCGCTAGAGTGAGCGTTGATGATGGTGGTGGCGGTGCTTGTGCTGGTGGTGACTGGTGGTAGGAGGTGTGAGCGCACGCAAGAAGAAAAAGTTGAAGAAACGCAAGGAGGCGTCGCGCCGTGTGCTTACCAACGATGAACTCATGTACGACCCGGGCATGGACGATGCCGACCAGGAGTGGGTGGACAAGCAGCGTCGCCGGTCAGAGAAACTCGCCCACCGCTCGCCACACATCATCGCTCGCTTCCCACCCTTAACTCACCACTGAATTGTAGGGGTGTGAATTCCCCCGTCTGATATGTAGGAGGTGGTGGGTTTGATCTCGACCCTGACTCCTGTTGTGTATTAGCAGTTTGTATGTTCTCCCCGTGGTTGCATGGATTTTTTTCCGGGTCATCCGGTTTTTCTCTCAAAATTTATCATCAACGTGCATTGAGAGGATTTTGCTGCTATAAATGTCCACATGATAAGCCACTTGGTTGCGCTATCATTTGTGGCCAGGTCGCTTACAAAAAAAGAGCTAAATAGCTCAGTGGGCCTCGCCCGATAAAATAAAAAATACTCCAGTTCATAATTTAAATTGTAGTAGTTTTTGTCGCGAGAGCGACAGCAGGGGGTGCTGGTGCGCATCGTGTGTGTCCCGTGCGACGATCCACAACATTTACAACGCGCTCGCAGTCGCGAGGGCGACATGCCCGCACTCGGCTCTCACAGAGCACACCCCAGAGCCTGTTTACCGCAGCCAGACAGCCTGCTTTACGAGATCCTCCGCTCCTTATAGGATTATGCGAAAGCCTGCGACTCTGCCGCGAAAGACTTGCCTGTGCAAATTGTTCACGACCTTTTGGGATGTTTTTTTCACGGTGACCCATTTAGTCTGCTGGAGCACGCCTGCGTCAGCTTACGCACGCCTAAGTAGCGCAGGAGACGTTGACGGAGGCAACACGTACTTATTAACAATTTATACTATACAGTACGTAGCGCACCCTAACGCTTGAAGGGGTAACGGCCCCTTCACCCGGTTCTTTCCGAGGCAGTGTCCCTCGGCTAACGTTTCCCCGTTAGCTCCTACACCCCTCAAACCCAGACCATCCTAGTGGAGGCTAACTGACCTGGCCCATCTTCTTGATTCTTTCGGTAAAGTCACGTAGAAGGGAAGTAATAAAATAATAAAAATAAAACATAATAAAAATAATTCTCACGACGTTTCGGCAACAACGCAAGCAGCCGTCCTCAGGTGAAGACCAGGTCTGTCAAGGGAGACAGCGTCTGACGTCTTCACCTGAGGACGGCTGCTTGCGTTGTGGCCGAAACGTCGTGAGAATTATTTTATTATGTTTTATTTTTATTATTTTATTCCCTTCTACGTGACTTTACCGAAAGAACCAATAAGATGAATCCCTGCAGTCACAAAAGCTTTAAATCGAAATTTGACCTGGCCCAGCTTCGGCTCAGGTCCGACCCTCAGCCACACGAGCCTGGCCCTCACAAGGACACAGAAGACCTCACTGCTCTGAGGTCTCCCCTGGCTTGCCCTGCTCGGCTCTTATAAGGGCGGCGAGTCAGGGTAGTCCCAGGGCTAGCTAGCTAGCTGGTACTCTTAGTAGGTGAGTGAGTGGGTGAGTGTGTAGGTGAGTGAGTGGGTGAGTGTGTAGGTGAGTGAGTGGGTGAGTGTGTAGGTGAGTGGGTGAGTGAGTAGGTGAGTGAGTAGGTGAGTGGGTGACTGAGTGACTGAGTGACTGAGTGAGCGGTGAGTGACTGAGGGAGCGGTGAGTGACTGAGTGAGTGAGTGACTGAGTGAGTTGGTGAGTGACTGAGTGAGTGAGTGACTGAGTGAGTGAGTGAGTGGTGAGTAACCTGTATGGTGAGTGAGTGGTGAGTGACTGAGTGAGTGAGTGAGTGGTGAGTGACTGAGTGAGTGAGTGGTGAGCTAGCTGGTCTTCAGTCTTCACTGGCTCTTCTGCACTGTTGTGTCCGTTGTCCCCACCTGCGTGCTTGTGTGTGACGTTTGGGTGAATGTGTACCATTCACAAGTCTTTATCCTCGTGACATTTATGTAACTTGCAATGCTTCCCACATTGGCGGTGGCGCTTTTTCTTATCGACAACGCACAATTGGAAGCGCATCTCGTGAATATAAACAAATCACTGGCCTGGCTTGGTGACAAAATGAACAAACCATATTGTATTCTTGGTTCTTTCGGAAAAGTCACTTAGAAGGGAAATAATAAAATAATGCAAATATAATTTCCCTTCTACGTGACTTTACCGAAAGAACCAAGAATATGAATCTCTGCAGTCACAAAAGCTTTAAATCAAAATTTAAACCATGTCGTGTAACACTTCATGACGCAATTCAATTTTACTAAGCTTCCCCAAAATTTCCCTATGAGGAGCATACCGTTAGCATGGCAGGCAAGAGCTTGTGCAATGGTTAGCCCACTATGCTATGAACCTCAGGACCTGAGTTTGATTCGTCACCATGCAGCTAATATCAGTACAAAGCAATATCTGAACCAGTTGTAGGCCTCTCCCCACCTCAGTCCGCACTGACCAGCATGCTAAAGTACCGTCAAATTACACACACCACCTTTCGTCCAGCAGAACATTGACAAAGGACTGCAATTTTTTGTTAAATCCACAACGCAAAAATTTCATGATCATACAAATGAAGTAAATCGGACTCTAAGGTCATTATCGTTTTACACTTTGCAAGATTGAGATGTTTGGCCTTGGTGTATCCTCTGGCTGGTGATTAGGCTTATACGCAACATGTCATGTAATTAATATGACTACATTACTGCCCCTCTGGTCTTCGCACCTGATAGGTTCACAGTGATGGCGTCACCTTTACGCTATTTAACACCGAAACAGGAAGACGACTTCACAATTTTGGTGAATCGCCTGATGACGCTGGTTGCAATCACCAGTGAAATGTTACAGTACTCGAATTGTAAATGTTGTGGGTCTACTCTCCAGCACACCTGTGGTGCTGAAGTTGTAACTAATTGGCACTTTTTGTTTAAGTGACGAACCTTCTTCTTGGTTCTTTCGGTAAAGTCACGTAGAAGGGAAGTAATAAAATAATAAAAATAAAACATAATAAAATAATTCTCACGACGTTTCGGCCACAACGCAAGTATCCGTCTTCAGATGAAGAATGAAACACTGCTAAGCTTGGAGCATATATATAAGCTGGGTTGGAGGTGGAAGAAGAGCGCCTTGACAAAATAATTTGCATATCAAGAGGAATTTAGCATATTTATGGGAAATGCGTAGGAGGTGGGCGGGGGGGTTTCAAAGTCATATTATGCCCATGCATTATGCAGGATTAGCAGCATCAAAGGGAGGGTGTAGGGAGCAGCATTAATAAAGGGAGGGAATGTTAATAGTATGTACACAGGACAACCCTTACTAATTGGCTGCGCCGGGTAGTGGCGGGTTTAACGACATTTATATTTACGCGATCTAACCCAAAAAAAAACCCTTTATTATGGATCATGTCATGGGCCGCAGGTACCGCGGGTTGCAGAGCGGGAGGGCGGACGGGAAAGCGGATGAGGAGACGCCCTCCAGCGACGCTGTGCTCAACTGCCCCGCGTGCATGACCACGCTGTGCCTCGACTGCCAGCGGTGAGTGCACCAACTCGCACAACGGTCGTCCTGCAATTGCACCCTGCACGCATGCACCGCATGCACGTAAGCACAGCACATACTGCACGCACGCACTGAAGACACACAGCACACACTGCACGGACGCACACTGCACGCATTGGACGTACGCATAGCACGCACACACAGCACGCACACAATGCACGCACTGCACGCACGCAAGCACAGCACATACTGCACGCACACACAGCACGCACTGCAGACACACAGCACACACTGCACGGATGCACACAGCACGCACGCATTGCACGCACGCATTGCACGCACGCATTGCACGCACGCACTGCACGCACGCACTGCACGGATGCACAGCACGTGCACACAGCACGCACACAATGCATGCACTGCACGCACGCACTGCACGCACGCACTGCACGCACGCACTGCACGCACACACTGCACGGACGCACAGCACGGACACACTGCACACACAGCACGGACTGCCCACACAGCACACACACACTGTATGGATAGACAACACACACACAGCACGCACCCAGTACACTACACACACACAGCACACAATTTGCACACTACACACACACATCCTGCACATTTACACCCTGTCCTGCAGTACAGGTTGGTGGCTAAAGATGCCGATCGTTGTTTAGTTATTGGTTGCAGGTTGGAGAGGGGTGCATCTGCTCATAAGAGTATTTTTGGCAATATCTCACAATCATGTGAAATGCGGAGTATCCTTACATCTCATATTATTTGGATACAAGGATTGCAATCTTAATCATTTCCTGACAAATACAAGGCTCCCGTAATCGACTGGCTTTTGTCAGCTTGTTGCAATTTGTCACGCACTATGCATTTTGCAAGTTTCCAACAGCGGTCAAAGGCCACTGAGCATGGTGTAGGCTTGCTGGTGAACGGGTCACAGGACAGACGTGGATCTGTGACGGGTGGCGTGGTGAATTCCCGCTAATAATAGAAAACAGTACAAACCCATTTGCCATGAGTGGGAATGCTGATGGCTTGCTGGTAAGAATAATGTTTGGGCAGACCCATGTTGTGAGTGGAGCCAGCTAAGAAATTAAACCATATAAAACTAAACTATTTTATTTCAACAGGTAAGGCCCAATTAGCTATATAGCTCTTTTTCAGATGAGACCTGAACACAAATGATAGCTCAACCAAGTGGCTTATCGTGTGAAAAGTTAAAGCAGTCATGTTTATAAACGTGGAGGTAAAAACCGGAGGACCCGGAGAAAAATCCACGCGACCACAGGGAGAGACATGCAAATTCCAAATATACAGGTGTCAGGGTTGGGATCGAAGCAACGACCTCCTGCATACCAGGCGAGGTAGTTAACATCTCCTAGCCACCGTAGTGATGATGAGAAAGAGAGATCTCAAACTCCAAATATACAGCAGCAGGCGTAAGGGTCGGGATCGAACCCACGACCTCCTCCATACCAGGCGAGGTAGTTAACATCTCCTAGCCACCGTATTGATGATGATAGAGAGAGATCTCAAACTCCTAATATACAGAAGCAGGCGTAAGGGTCGTCGGGATTGAACCCACGACCTCCTCCATACCAAGCGAGGTAGTTAACATCTCCTAACCACCGTAGTGATGATGAGAGAGAGAGATCTCAAACTCCTAATATACAGCAGCAGGCGTAAGGGTCGGGATCGAACCCACGACCTCCTCCATACCAGGTGAGGTAGTTGACATCTCCTAACCACCGTAGTGATGATGAGAGAGAGAGATCTCAAACTCCTAATATACAGCAGCAGGCGTAAGAGTCGGGATCGAACCCACGACCTCCTCCATACCAGGCGAGGTAGTTAACATCTCCTAACCACCGTAGTGATGATGAGAGAGAGAGATCTCAAACTCCTAATATACAGCAGCAGGCGTAAGAGTCGGGATCGAACCCACGACCTCCTCCATACCAGGCGAGGTAGTTAACATCTCCTAGCCACCGTAGTGATGATGAGAGAGAGAGATCTCAAACTCCTAATTTACAGCAGCAGGCGTAAGGGTCGGGATCGAACCCACGACCTCCTCCATACCAGGCGAGGTAGTTAACATCTCCTAGCCACCGTAGTGATGATGAGAGACACAGACACCAAATATACAGCAGGCGTCAAGGTCGGCATCGAACGCACGACCTCCATACCAGGCGAGGTAGTTAACATCTCGCCACTGTGGCGCCCGGCCATTGTGTTCCCCCACCCGTCGCACCAGGCACGAGCTGTACAGTCACCAGTACCGCGCGATGTTTGTGCTGAACTGCACGGTGAACCGCTCCGAGGTGCTGCGCTACCGCATGACGCGGCCGCGCGGAAAGGGCAAGCAGAGGCGGCGGAAGGGGGCCACCGGCACTGAGGAGGTGAGGCTCATTCACTCATTCTCTCCATTAATGAATTCCTTCGTTCCGTCATCGGGGCCATTGATTTAACTTGAAAATGCGTTGTTGTGCATGGCCTTGATCCAGCGGAGAACAAGAGTGATCGTTTCCCTTCTATGGAGATGATCCCTTGTCTGAAATGTCACCTGTTGTCCGTCCAAGGACGGGTGTATTGCAATAAATCTGAAACTTGCAAGCGAAAAGCAGACCGCGACGTGAAATTCATTGCATCAATTTGTGTGCAATTTGTAAGGGCGCGGTGACACAGACCTATTTCATTTTAAGGTTATTATCCCTTGTTCATCACGACGTCCTTTTTACTTCGATGTCTCAACAGCGTTACGGAGATCGCGTGACGTGAGGGTTCTGCCTTTGTAGTGAGGGTGTTGACGCTGAGGAGGGGGGAGGAGGCGCCTCGCCCCCCCCCCCCCCCCCATGTGGAGTGACGTCACCCGCTAATTATTATGAATGAGGGGGGCTGGTCGATGTGGAGTGATGTAACGAACGTTAAGGACACATTCCTGGGTGATTACTTCGATGTTTCAGTAGCGTGACGGAGATCACGTGAGGTGAGGGTTCTGCCTTTGTAGTGAGGGTTGTGAGTTCTATTTCTGAATGTTTTGATTTTCATTTTTTTTGTTTAATTTTAAAAATTCACATTTATTTTGACCAAAGCGTCCTTGTTTCCAATTTGGTATTCGTAACGTATGCCGGTGTCATGATCCAACTTATGCTTCTTTTCAAAGTTAATCACAAATGACCCGGGTTAGAATTACACGCCAACATCACCAGCGCCCCCCCCCCCCCCGCCGACTGTGAAAACAACTCATAGACTGCACTCGTCTGTGACACATTGCACCTTAGCGATTGACCTCGCGCTATAAATAAGTAATATTTAAAAATAGTTTTTTTTAAACACGCTTTAATGAAATGTACCGTACTCGTAATGGCAAAACTCCACGAAGCTTGCCATAACGTCAGGGACCGTGGTGATTTACAGCCAACGTCAGTTGAGTGTGGACAATTAGACCCAGGTCGAAACATAACATATAAAAAAGATGGTTTAATTTTTTATTTTTTTAATGATAGAATATAGTATTGTCATCAGTATGACATACGTATACCAAGTTTGCAGTCGATAGCACATTTGGAAGTGGGTTAAAATTGAGTTACAAGATTTGACGATACGACAACAACAACCGACAGTGCGTTAATAGAAAGCGTGTAAAAAGATAGCTTATAAATATTTATTTTATTTTTTATGATAGAATATAGTATTGTCATCAGTAAGACATAAGTATATGAAGTTTGCAGTCGATAGTACATTCGGAAGTGGGTTAAAATTGAGTTACAAGATTTGAGGATACGACAACAACAACAACAGACAGAGTGAGTTAAATAAAAGCGCGTAAAAATAAGATATCTTGAAAAACCAAAAATGCCAGTGATGTCTTTGGATATTCCTCAACCCCTTCGAAAAACACACATCTCAAATGCTACCACGGCCCTCTCGTCACCCTCTTCAGTTAACATCTCACGTTTCACGGCCGTGCGTATCGGCCGGTCCTGTCGCCCGTCCTGATTCTGCGCCGTTGTTTCGCTAGGCTGCCGCCAACGCCGGGACCTTCCACGCGGTGGCGGGAGGCACGGGGAAGGAGGCGGAGGAAGAGGAGTACTTCCCGGTGACGTGCAACGAGTGCCAGACGGAAGTGGCCGTCTTCGACAAGGAAGAGGTCTACCACTTCTTCAACATCATCGCCAGCCACTCGTAGGGTCACAATCGGGTACCCGTACCCTACCCGATACCCGGCTACCCGTACCCGGCCGGGGAAATGAGTGACAAATGGTTACTCACCAGTGACTCACGGCCTACCCGTACCCGGCCGCACCAGGGTCGCAAACGGCTACCCGTACCCGGCTGGGTACGGGTAGCCGGGTATCGGGTACCCGGTTGCGACCTCTGGGCCCCGGTGGCTGCCCCTCCGCTCACTGCGTGGATGGGAGAAAAGTCAAAATTTCAGTCGCAAATCCCAAAAGACTCGGGACAAAGGTCACCTCGTACCTCTGTTATAATCACACGTTTATTCTTACTTCGATAACCTTAGTTGATTTTGTTTCTTTCACGTAGAGTATCCCATGTGGTGCTTTGTTGGTGTTGCAGACAACAGAGGCTGATTGGACTTGGGTAAAGACTCATGTGTGAGGCCTTTGCAGCAAAAGCCATTGTTATATTGTAATGTACTGTACTCCCATGTCTATGTCCCCACATTCACCAACCTGCACTGACTAGTGTGGTGAGAAGTATCGTCAAATATCCCCCACCACCAGCACGCTATGGGGAGGCTTTCATCCAGCTGTGAGTTAACAAAAGGACTGTACGCGGGTACACTTCTTACATTTGAGAAACGGCTTCAGCTCATTACTACTTCCAGGGGCTCAAATACTGCATCAACAGTGGTACGGGCTTTGATGTGAACATTAACACGTTCCTTCAGAGTGAGCAGGTAGGAACTTGGTTGGACAGCGCATTCGTGCGATCCGTGTCACGCGGCGCGTCACGTGGTGCTGAGCCCGCCCGAAGCGCTCTATGAAATACAAATCGAGGGCGGGGCTATGCTCGCCAGACAGACAGACAAATAATCCCTGGTGGGCAGTGTGGAACTGTTGTTCCTACCTGTAACATTTCGTCAACAAGAACCAGCCACTTTGCACCTTTCAAAACTGTCAAAAGTGTAATTGTTAGAATCGGTGATGCTGCATTTAAGAGGGGCACCTGCATGTACGTATGTTGAATCTCTTTCGCACCATAGGTAGCCAACCGTGCTAATCGGAGGTGCACCGATAGATTCAGAGTCCTTTTTGTAAGTCCACTGTTGGATGAGGGTCTCCCTCCCCCCCTCACACTGAAGATGATGGGGGTTAAATTTCGATTTAAAGCTTTCGTGACTGCAGGGATTCATCTTCTTGGTTCTTTCGGTAAAGTCACGTAGAAGGGAAATAATAAAATAATTAAAATCAAACATTTAATTATTCTCACGACGTTTCGGCCACAACGCAAGCAGCCGTCCTCAGGTGAAGAACAGGTCTGTCGGAAAGACAGCGTCTGAATGAATGACGCTGTCTTCCCGACAGACCTGTTCTTCTAAAGACCTGTTCTTCACCTGAGGACGGCTGCTTGCGTTGTGGCCGAAACGTCGTGAGACTTGTATTTTATTATGTTTTATTTTTATTTTATTATTTCCCTTCTACGTGACTTTACCGAAAGAACCAAGAAGATGATGGGGGTTATTTGACCACCGTGCGGCCCGCTGGTCAGTGCGGAATGGTGAAGGCGGACAGCATAGACCTCGGAGCATATGCAGCACGACGATGGATTGTTTACTGCAAGAGGAGCGGGACGTTACACGGTGCAACGAAATATAACCGATAGTTCATGTACTCAAACAGCACGCTGATTAGCACATGTGCCCATCCGTATGAATTACCTTAGTGTTTTGCAAACTCGCTGAACTAATTTTGCTGTGACCGCCAAACAAACACGTGCAGAACATCTGTTTCAGAAGATAAATGCGTAACTTGACTTTGAAAATTTGACCTGTTCTCCAGTGTCAACATGCAGTGAGGTGTTACATATTTGTAAGTAACGCAAAATAATATGTAAATAAAGCGCTTTTATTTTTATTTCTTTAAATTGTGTCATTCTGTATCGCATATCGAATGGCTCTTGATGGCAATGAGCTGAGGCAGACTCCAGCGTTAGCTCACAATTTTAAAATATTGTGTACACGTATCGTCGTTATATTTTATGCTACACAGCCTTGTTTTAATGAAAGCAATCCGTGGCTGCATTAAGGGTAAGATAATTAAGTTATTTCAGTTCGACAAGTAGCATCTAAAGCTTTTACCAACCACTCTGAACCACCAAACTACCCCCGGCCAGATTTGGTTGACAACTTGATCGATGATTCTACATGGGCTCAATGGTGGGTCGGAGGTTAGCGCACGGCACTGTGAATCTGGCCGGCTATGCGTGGAATTACACAGATACCTACTGGACATCTGTGAAAAAGAGCTGTATATCCCATCGGATTGCTCCAGTATAAATCAATATTCTGATATCTAAAGCGGTCCTGGGGTGCACCCACCCCTTCACTGACCAATGTGGAAAAGTCGTTTTCCCCGCAACAACTCGTGAAGTGTGCCTGTCCATCGGGTTTTCGGCCTCGTATTTAGCATTTCTTCTCTCAAGCACTCTTCCCCCGCGCTAACCGGAGTTCGCTCCAAATATTGATGACGCCCACAGTTGATGAATCCATCTCATTAACACTCTCACTCAAGTGCGGGCGCGGTCAAAGTTTTAGAGGGAAATGCTCAAACGACGCGACTGCGTTTCGATTTAAAGCTTTCGTGACTGCAGGGATTCATCTTCTTGGTTCTTTCGGTAAAGTCACGTAGAAGGGAAATAATAAAATAATAAAAATTAAACATAATAAAATACAATTCTCATGACGTTTCGGTGGAAAGACAGCGTCAGAATGAACTTCATTCGGACGCTGTCTTTCCGACAGCCCTGTTCTTCACCTGAGGACGGCTGCTTGTGTTGTGGCCGAAACATCGTGAGAATTGTATTTTATTATGTTAAATTTTTATTATTTTATTATTTCCCTTCTGCGTGACTTTACCGAAAGAACCAAAAAGACGCGACTGCGCTTGCATTGTGATCGAAATGGTGTGGGGGAGAGTGGAGGAGAGCGTGGGAGTGGGGCCGGGGGTGTTTTATGCCGCAGTGGATTGATAAAGAATCTGCATATTGCATAATACTTTGCAAAGGACTTGGCAGCCTTTTCCAAAAACGAAATCTGATGAAAGCATCGCACGTTCAAACCGGGCACGGCGACTCCACCAGCGTCGGTGCTGATGATGCGCGAGTGGAGTGGCCTTCCGCTTGTGGGCACAGTTTTTTTTTGCAAATCCTGATCCCCGCGGCGATGAATTTTACCCGCGGGGAGATCTCGCGTGCAGGTTCGCTCCATGTCTTCCTCGCGCTCGCTCGATGTCAACAAAACTTCGTCGCGGATCTGCTCGGGGCTCCTGATTCAAACAGGCACGGCAAGTCTTTCTCGTCATATGAGCAGGCCGTACGCGGGTAGTGAGAATTCCATTCGGGTTGTTAAATTTGTGGGGTGTTTTTGCGTAATCAATAATCACGTGCAATGTTTTTATAAATGTAAAGAAATGTGATCATCGGTTTACCGGCCTTCACCAACCCACACTCAGAAGCTTGGTGAGGTATGGTTCAACAAGCCCCATGACTGACATGGTGTGGCAAAGCCTTTGTCCTGCAGTGAAGTGACTGATGGCTGTAATGTTTGTACAGTGAGGGAAAAAAAATTTGATCCCGTGCTGATTTTGTACGTTTGCCCACGGACAAAGAAATGATCAGTCTATAATTTTAATGGTAGGTTTATTTGAACAGTGAGACAGAATAACAACAAAAATCCAGAAAAACGCATTTGGGAGAGGTGGCAGTCGAGATTGTGTGCACGTTTAATACAGAACAGGCCCGAGCAGCGGACCGGATTTCAGTCTGCGAATTGAATGGAGCAACAGCAGCTCACGGCGTGCGCGCTCTTCTGTACCGTGGACTTAGTAGCTCGTGTTGTAATAAATGAAGGCCAATTATGTAATTCGGTACGTTTCATCCATGGGTGGAAAAAAATCAGATTTTTCCAGCGGCAGGCATCGGGTTTTTTCTTTAATACAATTAAACCCGATTTGGGGGAATTACAACCTGGTTTAATGAATACGAAACTCTGATCCAAGGCTTAGGCTGCTTCCTTGTCGGTGCTGCTATCGTACTCGGGGGGGCCGTCGGGCACGGGGTAGTCGTAGAATGCGGCGGGCAGGTTGGTCTTGATGAACACGAGCTTCTCCTCCACAATCGTGGGTGCCAGTGAGTTCCTTAGCTTGGAATGGATGAAGCCCATCGTTGAGAAGTGCGGTTCTGCAATTAGAACCACTTAAACCGGATTTCTCCCAATCTCAGATGATCGGGTTTAATATAAAAAGACAATTAAACCCGATTGTAACAAACCCGACTGTGAGCCTGAACGCGGCTTTTGTGAAAGCTGCACCAATTGTATCGTGAACGGTGGGTCTCGTAATCTCGTCATTTGTGCGTTGGGAGTTGTAGGCATCATCAAAGCCGCTTGCCACGTTTATATTTTGATTACGATCTTGATTTGAAGCTTTCGTGACTGCAAGAATCCATACTCTTTGATGCTTTCGGTAAAGTCACGTTTTAAAGGTGAACCTTTGAAACAGTCTGCATCAGCAGCAGGCCATGCTTTCTCACCTGATGACGGACGCTTGTGTTGCGCCCGAAACGTGATTTATTTATTTTTATACCTACGTGACTACCGAAAGAACCAAAGGGTATTTTGATTACATTTAGAAGAATATAAAAATTGTCTGTTTCGTGTTTAAAACGGTGAGATGTGCTCCCTCGTTTGGTAAAAACTTCCACGTATGTTTTTATCGTGCTATTGTACAAATGAAAAATGATTTGTGTAACATTTTTGTATGTTAGGGTAATGCATATGTGGGTGTCCAGGAATGTAGGGAGCAGTGGTGCAGCGGTTAGCGTACTGCGCGTTGAACCCAGCGATCCAAGTTGGATTTCTGCTCGTGGCCAACACCATGTGACGATTATCTGAACCGGTACTGGGCCTCCCCCTAGGTCTACTCAGCCTCAAATGAGTACCTGGTGAGGTGTGTAAACATCGTTATCGTGGTGCTGGCCATCCACCCCCTCGTGTGCCGTGCTGGCCTTCATGGGTGCCTGCAAACAGCACTTGCCCCAACAGTCTGTTAAGGCCGTATTCGGGATCTTTGTGTGCAAGTATGTACAGATTCTGCAATGCAGCAAATTCATTCTTACGTTTTATGGTTCTCGGCTACAATGCTGTATAAACTACACTGCTGTGACGATGTACGTATTGTACAGCCACTTTGATGTAATGTGCAGTGCAATGTAAACAATACTGATGGCGTTATAAAAAAATGCAATGTTTCTGATGCGTTGATCCATTATTCTCTTGTTCACTTCAGTTTTTCTCCCTTCAAAATGTGACCCCACTCCCCCCAACAATTCAGTGACTAACATAATTATTTTGTATATATTTAAATGACATAACTTTTGTACTTAACAATAATTTGCTTACGGAAGAATCCTTCATTTGCATCTCAATACCTTCTTCTTGGTTCTTTCGGTAAAGTCACGTAGAATGGTAATAATAAAATAATAAAAATAAAACATAATAAAATAATTCTCACGACGTTTCGGCCACAACGCAAGCAGCCGTCCTCAGGTGGAGAACAAGACTCTGTCTTCTCGACAGACCTGTTCTCCACCTGAGGACGGCTGCTTGCGTTGTGGCCGAAACGTCGTGAGAATAATTTTATTATGTTTTATTTTTATTATTTTATTATTACCATTCTACGTGACTTTACCGAAATTACTCCAGAATATGAATCCCTGCAGTCACGAAAGAAGCTTTAAATCGAAAAATCTCAATACCTTATTTAAGAGGGTCCTGCTTTATACCTTTTTAGGCAAGTTCTATTTTATTATTTTACTAACTTTAGTTTTTTTTCTTGTGGGAGGATGCTACGATGTCTGGAGAAAACTCACGCACGCAAAGTGTTAGAAGCTAAAATGCCCCGAACAAAGTGAGAAAATGGAAAAGTGCTTAGAGAACCATGGCTGTCGCCTGATGAAGCCAGTTGTGATTACCGGCGAAGCGTCGTACCCAGATGGTAAATGTCGTGGGTTTACTCTCCAAACACACCGGGTGTGCTGAACTAGTAACGGAATTGGCACGTTTTGTTCACGTAACAAACCTTACTAATTGGCTTTGTCGGGTGGTGGCTGGTTTAACGACACACATTTACGCAATTTAACCCACAAACCTCGCGAAAGCGTACCGCGTGTTAAACTTCTCAGAGAAGCGTGGAGTTTTAAAAAAGGGAGGTTTTTTTGGTTTTCTTGTCCATCGCTCTGAAGCCCCTTTGTTGCGTCTGCTGCACCTAAGAAGCATGATAAAGGAGAGATGTGTGATTTTAAAAACGCTGAGAAACAGAAATAGTACTCGTTTAATACTGGTAGGAACCATCTGGTTCCACCAGCCCACAGGGGATTATTGTGTCCGTCCGTCGTACATCCAAAAATTGGAGGGGTAGGGCTGGGTGGAGAGGGGTGGGTGGGGAGGGGCTGGGCTGGGCTGGGTGGGGAGGGGTTGGGTGGGGCTGGGTGGGGAGGGGCTGGTCACCCCGTGGTGCCCTTATAAAACTCAACGTTTAACCTACTCACGCCGGCTTGTGCCCGTCCTCACAGTCGGACATATTTGCGGAATACACCACGCCGCCGTTGACCCTGGCCATTGACCGAGCAACCCAACGTTCCTACCAGCTCCCTCCGCAGGAATGTGTTACGTAACCAGGTGATAACTAGAGAGATCAGGATGAGTCTCATGTGCACGAGTGAGCTTTGGGGCATTTGTCCGTCAGTGGGGGTGGTCGGGGGGTGATTGCTAGTGTGTGCATAATGCCAATTGCGTAATTTGCGGGGAATTTTAGAATTTAGTCAGTGTGGACCCTGTTGCCGGCACACAACGGGCGACTCTTGCGAATGACGTCGAGGAATTTTTAGCATCGTGTATCTTCATGATCATTACACCACACTGATTAATTATGTATGTATGTTGAACTTATTTCGCTTTGTACGTAGCCAACCGTGCTAATCGGAGGTGCGGAAGAAGGACAGACTAAATACAAAAAGCAGTTCTAAAGAAATTAGTTTTCAGCAAGATTTTAAAGTGCACAGCTTCGGTGGATTCCGAATATCAGAAGAACGTTCCAGACGGCCGCATAAGCACATCTGAAAGCTCGCGATGCAAAATGGACACCGCATTGCAGGATACAAGTTACTCACACACCCACTCAATAAAATATATATTAAAAAAACAAAACGTTTTCTCTTGATTATTCACATTGTATTATGAGTTAGTGTTTGTGTTCATATTGCATGAGGAAAACGGCCAAACGAGCCTCTATAGATCACCGATCGAGTTCCGATTGAACACCAATCGAGCATCGATCTAGCATCTATCGAGCTTTGATAGAATACGTGTGTTAATGTGATCAAGGAATGATCAAGCTATGATATGTTTAATATGAATGTGTCTATGTGATCGAACATAGATCGAGCTTTGATCGAGCGTTGGGTCGTTAAAAATCGATCGATTCCCGTTACAGTATTCCTTTTGGGCAACAACAACGTATTTGGGCAAAGCAACGTTCAGTTACTCAATTGATTTTACTGGTAGGAACCTCCTGGTTACACCAGCCCACAGGGGATTATTGTGTCCGTCCGTCGTGCATCCAAAAATGGGAGGGGTGGGGCTGGGTGGAGAGGGGAGGGTGGGGAAGGGTGGGGAGGGGCTGGGTGGGGGGTGGGAGGGGTGGGGCTGGGTGTGGAGGGGCTGGTCACCCCGTGGTGCCCTTATAAAACTCAACGTTTAACCTACTCACGCCGGCTTGTCCCCGCCCTCACAGTCGGGCATATTTGCGGAATAAACAACGCCGCCGTTGACCCTGGCCATTGACCGAGCAACCCAACGTTCCTACCAGCTCCCTCCGCAGGAATGTGTTCATGAAACGTCACCTTAAGGGCCGTCCATAAATGACGTCACGCACCTGGGGGGAGGGGGGGGGTCAGACATTTGTGACGAGGGGGGGGGGGGGGGTGAGAAATGTGACGTCACATCAAAATGCGCAACTTTAAATAAATATAGACAACACGTTCTACTTAATTAAATAGACTTCTTAATACATGTTTTACCCTACAACATCAGAGTGCAGCGCCACATTAAATACGCACTACAATGACAATAGTTTAAAGCGATTTGAAGCATGTTCTTAAATTTAAAGCTTTCGTGACTTCAGCAATAAGATTATTTTATTGTTTAATATTTTTATTATTTTATTATTTCCCTTCTACGTGACTTTACCGAAAGAACCAAGAACATGATTTGAAGCATGTTTTATTTTGGGGGGGGGGGGTCAGAGCTTTGTGACGTCATATTTCAGAAAGGGGGGGGGGTCTGACTTTGTGTGACCTCATGTGACGAGGGGTGGGGGGGGGGGTAAAAAATCGTCCAAAATCACGTGACGTCATTTATGGACGCCCCCCCCCCTCTTAACGCAACAATAATATTCCTTCTAGATTTGAAGCTTTCGTGACTGCAAAGATTCATATTCTTAGGTTTTGTCGGTAAAGTCACGTAGGTAAAAAAAATAAAATTAATAAAAGTAAAATAAAATGATTCAACTTGCTTATAAGGGATTACATCTTGAATCATTGCCTCACTTGATGCAGCTAATCCGGCTGTGACGGTCCCACCTGATGACGGAGACTTGTGTTGCCTCCGAAACGTCGTGATTTTTGTTTTATTTTATTTTCATTAATTTTGATGTTTTACCTACGTGACTTTACCGAAAAAACCTAAGAATAATATTCCTGTGCAAATTAATTTCACCGCACGTGGCGCGCGCGCACGTTTTGTTGTTGTTGTCTTCGTTGTAGTTGTTGTCGTTGTAGTTGTTGTTGTCAATGGCGGACGGTTGTGTCACCCGTTTGTTGACGCCCACCTCGAGCCACGTGATTGGCCGCGCGCGCCACAACTGCCGCCAGCCAATCAGCGCTCGCGATGCTGCGGCGTTGCCCCACGGCGTGTTTGTACCACCCACCCATCCACCCACCTCTCATCTCTCATCTCCGCAAAAGCCTCCATCAGTCTCTCCACTGCTGCACGGCGTTTCTCTCTCTCTCTCATCATCATCCTCTTCTTCCTCTCCCCTCCTCCTTCTCCTCCTCCTGCTGCCTTCTCGCTCTTCTCAAACCCACACCCACCCACCCCACCCCACGCTTTGCTCCACACGTCTCGAAATCAAATAGAATTGTAGCCAAGCCGGGCGTTGTGGTTGTTTGGTTTATTATTTAGTTGGTAGTGGGTGGGTGGGTGTTCGTGTTCGTCGCTCACAAGTCGGGCCCGTTGCAAGTCACCGGCCCTGTCGACCTTCTCCTGCACCCGGTGAGTTTTTAAATGACCTGGGCTGCGTGCGTTGGTGGGGGTGTGGGTGGTAGTAGGTGGTGGGGTGAGTGGTGGTGGTGGTGGTGGTGGTTGTGGTGGTGGTGTGGGTGGTGGGTGGTGGTGGTGTAGGTGGTGGTAGGTGGTGTGGGTGGTGGTGGTGGTGGGTGGTTGTGGTGGGTGGTGGTGTGGATGGTAGTGGTGGGGTGGGTGGTAGTGGTGATGGTGTGGGTGCTGTGGGTGGTGGGTGTGGGTGGTGGTGTGGGGGGTGGGTGGTGGTGGTGTGAGTGGTGTGGTAGGTGGTGTGGGTGGTGGGTGGTGGTGGTGTGGGTGGTGGTGGTGGTGGTAGGTGGTGGATGGTGGGGTGGGTGGTTGTTGTGGGTGGTGGTGGTGGTAGGTGGTGGATGGTGGGGTGGGTGGTTGTTGTGGGTGGTGGTGGTGGGGTGAGTGGTTGTGGTTGGTGGTGGTGGGTGGTGGTGTGGGTGGGTGGTGGTGGTGATGGTGGTGATGGGTGGTGGTGGGGGTGGGGGTGGTAGGTGTGGTAGGTGGTGGTGTGGGTGGTGGGTGGTAGGTGGTGGTGTGGGTGGGTGGTGGTGGTGTGGGTGGGTGGTGGTGGTGGTGGTAGGTGGTGGTGTTTTATTTTCTTACCACGTGTCAGTGTCACCGCTACCGCCGATTACGGCCCTGGGCATTCTTCCCCTAAGGTCAACTCGGGCCTCGAAATGAGTCTTCTTGGTGCGGTGTGGAGGAAACCTCGCCACTGGGGAGACAAAGGCGGTCGGGCGTGGTGGCCCCCCACCCACCCACATAGTGGCCACCCACCCACACACCCACATAGTTGCTGCTCGCTAACAGCACGTGCCCCCCACCCCAACAGTCTGTGAAGGCCTCACAAGGAGGAGGAGATTTGTCACCGTGGTGCAAAGCCGTAATTATAATATATATTAGGGGGAACATCCCCCCCCCCCCAATATTCAAATATGCTCAAAATGCCCCCCCCCCCCAATATTTTGCTATAAAAAAATAATTGCGATGCTATGTAAATCAAAACAATTTGCTGAACCTTGGCCACAATAACTGGACTTGTCTTCATATGAATCAATACATAGATTTCTGTTTATACGGTTGTGGTTATGGTTGTACTTTATTAACCCCTAGTCTCTGCCATTACATACAATGAAACAAGAAATGGTAAAGTCAAAATAGAACAATGTGATACAATACACCATTAGACATTTCGATTTAAAGCTTTCGTGACTGCAGGGATTCATCTTCTTGGTTCTTTCGGTAAAGTCACGTAGAAGGGAAGTAATAAAATAATATTATTTTATAATGTTTTATTTGTATTATTTGATTACTTCCCTTCTACGTGACTTTACCGAAAGAACCAAGAAGACCATTAGACATTATTGTTAAAAAATAAATTAAAAGTCAAACCCACGTGTTGATGAATTTTTTAAAATATTTTAGGCAGGAAATTTGTTTTCAAATTCAGATATTTTTCTGGGTTGGGACCCCCCCAGACCCCTTGAATATTTGGGCCCCCCCCAAATGTTGATTTCACGGCTAGGTCCTTGGTGTGTCAACTCTGTGTGTGGAGGAGCGGTGGGTAAGTGGTTAGCGCACCGCCATGCGTTCCATTCCCACCGTTCACGACCCACCAACACCGGGTGACGAATTCATCTGAACCGGTCCTGGGCCTCCCCTAGGTGGACTCGGCCAGCAATGCTGTGCCGGCATTAATAGGTGCTCTCTAACAACACTTGCCCCGACAGTCTGTGAAGGCTACACGGGAGGAAGATCCCTTGACCTTCTGTAGGAGATGGAGCGACGGAATCTGTGTTGTGTAAGGAGGTGGGGGGTGGTGGTGTAGAGAATGAATTTTAGTGCCCCGGTGGGTCGCGATTGACGGCGGGATTTGGCAGAGCGAGGACTGATGGAGGGGGGGGAGGTGGAACGTCGGCGTGCGACGTGGAGACGGAGCGATGAAAAGCCCCGACTTGGTTCCGAGTCGGAGCGGTGCATCGGTCAAGTTGGTGGGGGCTGGGCACGGGGCGGGGGAGAGTTGGGTCGAGCAGTGGATTGAGCATGGCCGATGATGATGACGACGTTGCTAGCAAATGGCTTGAGGGTTAAATCACGGTCGGCGTGCTGATGATGATGCTGATGATGATGCTGCTGCTGATGATGATGATGCTGCTGATGATGATGATCATGCTGCTGCTGCTGATGATGATGATCATGCTGCTGCTGATGATGATGATCATGCTGCTGCTGATGATGATGATCATGCTGCTGATGATGCTGATGATGATGCTGATGATGATGCTGATGATGATGATGATGCTGATGATGATTCTGCTGATGATGCTGATGCTGCTGCTGCTGCTTATGATGCTGCTGATGCTGATGATGCTGCTGCTGATGATGCTGCTGATGATGATTATTGATCGGTGATGGCGCTGATGGTTTGGGGTGGCTGTGATTTTGATCAAACAATGTCTCGTGCTGAATCACGATCGTAGTCTCGTGGGTCATTATCGATCCACTGCTGGATGAAGGCCCCCCTCCCCCCCCAAACAACCCCAACAAGAACAACAAAGACGTCGTAATCTCTCACGATCCTGCGATCTCACGTCATCCCCTCCACCCCCACGCCCTGTACGCACGCGAGCTGATTCCAATCGCTCCGTCTCTCCCCCTGGGTTGTCCCTCGGTTGTTCGAGACAACGTCACGGGCAGCAGCAACAGCAACAACAACAACCGCCACTAGAGTTGTACTGCACTCTCAATGCTCCGACGTATTTGGAGATGTGTGGTCAAATCACGTAACCCAGTAACGGATTATCCTCGTTGCACAAGCAGCTGCATGTGTAGCAGCTGCATGTGTAGTAGCTGCATGTCTAGCTACTACACGTGTAGTAGCTGCATGTGTGGTAGTAGCTGCATGTGTAGTATCTACGGGCCCCGCACTTTAAAGGGCCCCGCGCTAAATGCTTTCAAGCTATCAATTCCGTTTCAGTGATTCTGCATTTTCATAGTAGAGGTTGTTTTTTGGGGGTTAGATCGCGTAAATATATGAATGTGTCGTTAAACCCGCCACCACCCGATACAGCCAACTAGTAAGGGTTGTCACGTAAACAGAACGTGGCCAATTCGTCACTAGTACAGCACTAGTGTGTAGTGTATAGTGCAGTGTAAAGTGCAGTGTATTGTAGTGGAGTGTATAGTAGTGGAGTGTATAGTAGTGGAGTGTTTAGTAGTGGAGTGTATAGTAGTGGAGTGTATTGTAGTGTCTAGTGTAGTGTATAGTAGTGGAGTGTATAGTGGAGTGTATAGTAGTGTAGTGTATAGTGTAGTGTATAGTGTAGTATACTAGTACAGCACTAACCGGTGTGTTGGAGAGTCAAGCCACGACATTTACGAACTGAGCACGATGTTTCGCCAGTAATTACAACCAGCTTCATCAGGCGACAGCCAGATTTGTGGACCGCTACATGTGGACCGCTACAAATCGGGTGGTGGGGGGTTTTAACGACACGTTTCTATATTTACGCGATCTAACCCCAAAAAACAACCTCTATTATGGCTGATATTGGTCGTGAAAGCGTACGTGTTAAACTGATTCTGCACTTGCTCTCTTACTATAGTACTATACCGCCTTGAACTTTTACGAACGACTGGGCGTTTAAGGTGAGCGATTTGTCGTATTATCTGGCCATATAGCAAATGAAAAAATACAATTACTTTACTGTGCAAGTTACAATTTTATGTGTTTTAATATTTTTGTTTCTAATTTAGGGCTCCTTTATAACATTTCCTACAGGCCCCCACACTAGCTTAGACCGGCACTGACGCCTGCTCCAGAGGTCGCAACCGGGTACCCGATATCCTTACCCTACCCGATGCCCGGCTACCCGTACCTGACCGGGTACGGGTAGCCGTTTGCGACCCTGGTGTGCCGGGTACGGGTACGGGTAGGCCATGAGTCACTGGTGAGTCACCGTTTGTCACTCATTTCCCAACGTCTTGTCTCTTCTCACAATTCAAGTGCCTAGAATCAACCCACCTGCGCCTGCAACATGGCTTCATCCCAGAGGTCGCAATCGGGTACCCGATACACGTACCCGGTCGGGTACCCGGCCGGGTACGGGTAGCCGGGTATCAGGTAGGGTACTGGTACGGGTACCCGATTGCGACCCTGGTGCGGCCGGGTACGGGTAAGGAATCAAAACCCGTTTGCGACCTCTGGCCTGCTCCCCCCCCCCTGCCTCGGATCTGCGCACATTGCCGTGGCGGGGAGAAAGGAAGGAAGTCATCCAACAGCGGTATTGACACACACGGCTGTACAAGTGCCGCATGAAGTTTTCTTTTAAGACAAGATAAGACGCGACGGTGTGGACGGACGTTCTGGCCCCGGCGTCAACAAAGTTATTACAAATATATATATTTTTTAAATTCTCCCCGACCGTTTATTGCAGTTTTGACAAGTGCTGTTTGTTGCTGGCAGGTTCTGGGGCCGGTGCTAGGCGAGTGTTTTAGAAGCCAACAAAAAATATCGGGTGATGCAAAGGCAAAGATCCCCCGTATAGCCTTAACAGATTGTTGGGGCAAGTGCTGTGAGCGAGCACCTACGAAGGGGTGGGTGGCCAACACCACGCCCGACCACATTTGTCTCGCACCAGGTACTCATTTGAGGCTAAGTCGACCCAGGGAAGGCCCAGGAACGGTTTAAATAATCGTCACCGGTGTTGGCCTTGAGAGGGAATCGAACTCGGGTCGCCGGGTTCGTAGCGCAGCGCGCTAATCGCTAAACCACCGCTCCCCACGGGTGACGCACACACCGGATTGTAAGACGTACCCCACAACTTTGTTTTTGCGTTAGAATACAGGAAGGGGGTGTGGAGTGGGGATAGTGCGTCTTTGTTATCTGGCTAGTCCGCTACACACGTGTTGTGGCAGGTGCGGAATGCCATGGATATGGTCTATCTACGAAGCCAGTG